CACGGTGATGTCTCAGACACCACGGTGATGGGCACAGTAAGGACCGAGAGACGCTAAACAGGCAGACAGACAAGGAAATAGTGGCCCTGCCTACAGGTGTGTGTGTGGTGCAAACGGATGAACACCAGCTGCTGGCTGAAGACACAACCTTAATTCCCGCATCTCCTGTCTGTCAGCTATCGTTCGCTTGGCAGCCTGAGCTCCGATTTCTAACGCAGCGTTTTGCTCTGGCTTATTGTGGTTCTCATGTCCGGGGGCGCCTTGGCCCCTGGTATTAGGAGCGGTGCTAAGGAGGCTGCTTTTCAAAGGTCCTTAAGTAGGGTTGTCAACTTTCTACTTGCACAAAACCAAACGCCCTTGACCCAACCCCTTTCATGCCCTTCCCCAAGGCCCCACCCCCACTCACTCCAGCCCAGCCCACCTCCCTCAGTCGCTCGCTCTCACACCCTCTGGGTGAACAGTGAACATGTTTAGTTCAAAGTATGGGCAGTAGCCTTTGCAATTTGGGGGAAGAAAAAGTTAAACAACTATGTACTTTATTTATAAAAGACAAGCTAAGCTGCATCTTAAAAATTAATCTGCTTATTCAGTATCTATTCCTAATCGTCTAACTATAGTTTTAGCTGCAGCCATACAGTAGAACAGAAGCTTACTACAGGTAAGAATGAGTGGTAGGGAAATAAACACTTAGATTTTACTGATCAAAAAATGCAGAAAAATGAACATTGTTTTAAGGGATACATACAAAATGAGTCTCTAAATAAGGTACTTTAGAATGCTTTCCATTAGAAAATCTTTAGGCATTATTTAATGCACGTTAGTTCACACAAAGACTAGTGTTAAATGTTAATGTCTTTGGCCAAATTTTCAGATGTGGACACTGACTTTGGGTGCCCAAGGTGAGTCACAATGTCACACTGGGCTCACAAAATCAGTGGACACTTGAAATTTGTTGACCTGTTCTTTGAGCACATTGAGCTGATCCAGAAATCTTCAGGTATTTGACAAATTTCATAGAATATTTCATAGTATAGTTTCAGAATGCATTGAAAAAATATTTTGTCACTTTATGTATAATTTTTATTTAAGTAGCTCTCAAGTTATACAGAAGTTAAACATAGTTCAAGCAAGTATCTTTTAAAAAGTAAGGAAGTTTTGCCTCTGTAAAATTAAGCTTCTTTTTACTATACTAATATGCAAATAAGGGCTGATCCAAAAGCCACTGAAGTCAATGGAAAGATTCACCTTTACTTTGATGGATTGTGGAACAAGTCCATATAAAGTAAGCTTAATTAAAGGACCTCAAAGGACTTCACAAATATTAATGTCCTCACAACACCCATGTAAGGTAGGTGAATATACCCATTGTATAAATAGGCAAACTAAGTTTTGCTTTTAGCAAGAGTCACACAATGTATAATGCTGTGCTGACACTACGATATATACTATGGTGCAAGAAAACTTTCAGAGCAGTCCAGAGTCTGAGTTATTCCTCTGTAGCTCATATCTGTCTCTTATCACACACAGCACTGTACAGTGTGCGCCTCCTGTTCAAAGCAAAACTAACTCTATCCATTTGCAAAATTGGTATAATCACCTACTGTACATAGGTTTGTGACTACTGATTAATATTTGTGAAATGCTCCCACAAGAAAAAGGAAAGATCCAGGCCCTATGTCCTGTCTTTGTTAACTCCTTTAGAATATCACCCACCCCCCTTTTTTTTTTAAATACTGGAAGTAATAACTAACCCCTCTGTTTTAGAAACCACTCACCAGTGTCTAGATTAATTCCAACTCCAACATTTATTAAATGTATTTCTCCTCAAGGCCTAAGTTTTACTATGATGTCACATTCTTACATTTCTAAATGGAATATTTCAATACTGACAAGTCTTGACTTCCAAAAAATAGTTTAAGATCAAGATGCTTCTAACCTATTCTACATTAAAGAAAAAGCTTCCTATCTACTAAGGTTGCTTAAATGAACTAGTGCAGAGAATTGAAGTCTTTATTACAATGCACTTATTTTGCATCTGCACCTCTACCATTCAGACAATTCATTTAGACATTCTTAGGGGGATATGGTTATTTACTTAAAGAAATGCTGAAGCAGTATTTATAGAATTCAGGAGGGGAAAATGATGGTTTGCACTCACCAGCAAACTGGTATGGCAAGGAAGAGGGGGCAAAACCCCCAAAACCTTATATACAAATGTTTCAGGAGAGATCTTCAAAAAATGTATTGTAACAAAAGTATTGTCTTATTGATTTCTCTGCTGTCCTTTCAGTACTTCCTTTACACTACATGGAGACTACTTTTTTGCAATCTTTTGTTTTTCTTTTCAACTTCCTTTAGTATATCTTGCAGTTTCTTAGAAGTTTGCGTCAAGAATGCAAAGCTTTCCTTTAAATTGCTAGTCCCGTGCTCTCTGCATATGTTCTCAAGCCCATCAAACCACTGGAGGGTCTTCTCAAGTTCTGCCTGAACCATTTTCTGTTCTTCTAATTCTGCTAAAAGGGCCTGTCCAGCAGACACTTCGACCTTGTATTGTTTCTGTAGTTGATCAATTTCACCTTGAAGAGTTTGAAACTGTTCCTTACTGTAGGGGTACTGCTCATGGACCTTGTCTTCAGGAAGTAAAACATTTTTAGGGATGTTTAACACCAACTGCAAAAGCATTTGTTCCATTTTGCTGAAGAGGTGATCAAAGCGCTCCTTCATGAAGAGAAGAAATTTCTCTGTGCTCTTACGGATTTGGAATGGACTGATCTTAGAGTCAGGAAAGCCTTCTAGTTTCTTCAGAATGACTCTTTCCACAACCAGCATCATTTCAAACAGGTAGTCTTGAAATGCAATGTAGACCCTAAGCATACATGTCTGAGGGGTAAAACCAAAGAACTGGGCTTCATATGCCATAGGATTCACTGACATCTTGGCTAAAAGAAGTCAACCATAGACAATGTGGAAATCTGTAAAGGAAAAAAGGAACATAAGTACAAATCTGTATTTTGGAAAGGGTGAGTTGTATTAGCAGTCTATTACAGCATTAACCTCACTTATGAAGAGCAGAGTTCAAGTTTGAATTTAGGGGAATTTAAAGAATTTGGTTCTTAATCTAGTCCTTTTTCTGCCCAGCAGGACATAATTTGCCAGTCTTTGACTCAGAGGAAACTACATCCTATTCTATTACCAGTGCTAACCATGACTAGAACCTTACATTAAAATCTAAATTCTATTATTAGGCCCAAGGAGGGATTCTGTAGAACGTAAATAGAACCTTCTTTTGTAGTGTTTGAATGCACAAGTGATGCATTGTGTCAACAGTTGTAGACCTCTCTGAACATATTACATTGTGTTATAGATCAGTGGTTTCCAAACTTTTTTGATTGCGCACCCCTATCAGTAAAAAATTTTTGAGCATTCACCTCCTGCTGCACCGGTTCTACCATTTTTACCAAAGCCAAAAAAAAAAAAAAAAAAAAAACCCAAACAAAAGAAAAAACCCGCTCCTCCTGCTGCGCACCCCCAAGGATCCTCTTGTGCACCCCACTTTGGAGACCACTGTTATAGATAAATATGTCAATATCGTAACTGGTTGGAAAAGCCCTGCAGACATAATTATCAATACACTGTCACACTGTGTATGAAAGCAGTTTCCCTGTCACACTGGAGGTGAAGGCTTTGTGCTGCAGGTGTTCCAATAGAAGTCTTCTCAGGCATTTGTGTTGACAGGGTAGGACCAAGACCCCAGTTAGTCCATTAGAATAGGATGAGCTCCCCCTTTAAGCAGTTTACCAGCCTCTATCCCACTAACAGTCACAGACCCCTACTGTGTACAAGCCTTTTCAAATCAGACCAAGGACCAGACCGGCACCTTGGGAAGGTTTTTAAGTGACTGACATCGGTCATAATTAAGGGGGAGGGGAGATCCCCCTGGATAATTAAGCCACAGCATTAGGCTCTGAGAAAATTCAACACAGGGTGAGAGCAGACAACAGCAGGCAGTTCTCATTGGGAGCTTTTCCTCGGCAGATCTCAAAGCGCTTTGCAAAGCAGGTCAGGCTCTTTAGCCCCATTGTACAGATGGGGAAACTGAGGCACGGGGAAGGGCAATGACTTGCCCTAGATCCCCCAGCAGGCACAGCGCCAACCCTTACCCTGGTGCTCTATCCCCATGGCCCTACCACTCCCCAGGCCCAATGGGTGGGGGCTGCTTGGGCCCTCAGGCCCTGGCTCCCTCTTGGCTCGGTAGGAACCGTCGCCTGGCCCCAGGCTCCCGCGGCCTTTGGGATTGGGGCGCCACCTTCCCCGGCTCCCAAGCGAGAGGGGCCCGCCGGCGTAGGGAAGCCTCCCCGCCCACTCCCCTTGGCCTCTCACCGGGCGGGCGAACGGCAGCTCTCGAGCTAGCCTGGCCCCCAACCGCCGCTTCCCGCCTCATTCGAACGCCCGCCCCCGGGAGGAGCGCCACCACTCAGCGCCTCCAGCCGCGCCCGCGCGCTCAGCGCCCACCTCCCAAACCAATCGGAGCGCCGGGTGGGGTGGGGAGAAAATACCCCGCCCAATCACAAAGCACGTCCGACAGGGGACGCCGGAGCGTCCGGGAAGAAAGGCTTCCCCCCCTTCAAACCGCTGAGATAAAAGAAAGCGAAGGATTGGCTGGCTTTGGATGCCGGAGGCAGCGCTGATTGGTTGTGTAGCGTGCGGAGGGGGGAGGGGGAAATGAGGCGAGCCGGCGCGCAGGCGGAAGCGGAAGCGGAGCCTTAAAATGGCGTACCAGACCTTCCGGCAGGAGTACCTGCAGGTGCCGCCCGTTACCCGGGCCTACACCACCGCCTGCGTCCTCACCACTGCCGCCGTGGTGAGCCAGGAGGGTGTGGGGCAGCGGGGTGGGCCTGAGGGCAGCGCCGGCGGCCTCGTTCTTGTCCCTTCGCTGTGTACGGGCTGGAGCGCCGCCCTTGGGGGGAGGGACGAGGCTACATCCTGGTTCGCCCCCGCTTGTGAGGCGTGGCCGCGCGGAGACAGGGCCAGGCTCGGTTCCGGTTTGGTCTCCGAGTCCAGCCTCGCTCTCCCCAACCCCCTCCGCGTTTCTGCTGGTTCTGAATCCGGGCGGCTGCGTTCGGTCCATCGCCGAGACGCCGAACCGCGAACGGCCCTGCAGCCTGGGGGTTAAGTTACCTGCTTGATTGGGCCCTGGTGGGTCTGTCTCTCCCTTATCCTGTAGGGCCGTGGTGCTCCCCTGTCCCAGACTATTGTACCCCTTTCCGTACTCTGATTTGTCTGGTGTACCTCCAAGTTGCTCCTCACTTAAAAACTACTTGCTTACAAAATCAGACATAAAAATACAAAAATGTCACCGCACACTACCACAGGAAAAATTGCTGACTTTCTCATGTTGTCTTTATGAAATTTACGTTGTACTACTTCTCTAGTGCTTTTTATGTAGTTGTAAAACTAGGCAAATATCTAGATGAGTTGATGCACCCTCTGGAAGACCTCTGCCTACCCCCAGGAGTACACATACCTCTAGTTGAAAACCATTTCTGTAGGACCCTCTGGAGGTGTATACACAGCCTGTGCTGAATGCACAAACAAAATCCAAACCCACCAGCACTTGAAATGGGTGAGGGTAGGAAGACATTTAACAGTTGCACCACAGATAAAGACAGGGACTGAAAAGGAATCAGGTACCCACATGAGATGGTGTGTGAGTTTGTGGGTTTTTTTGGGGGGAGGGGAGAATTAGTTCTCCAAGACTCATTCTCTGGTAGTTATATTACAGAGCCGCTGTACCCTGAGTTGTAGGGTGTTTCACCGTTGTGCCTCTGCAGAATCATTAAGCACCCAACCCAATGGTGTCCCATTCCTTGACGACCTTTTGCTAAAGTTATAAAATTTCTCATTAATGAGGCCACTAGAGAAGTGTGAAAAATATGGCAGAGCCCTTTCATAAAATGGTTATTATAGTAATGTAGCTACTAAAGTGATGGCCAAGCAAATACATGGAAAATTGGTTGCTAGGGAACGTTGGTTCCCACGTTCAAGTGACTGGACACAAGGAATCTAAAAACATGTTCATTTAAGATGAATGTGTCAGTTTAAAAAATATAATGTAATATAATATCACTTTTTGAAGCTATGTGAGCTCTTGAGGTTCATAAAAGTAGATAAATTCATGGAGGATAGGTCCATCAGTGGCTATTAGCCAAGATGGCAGGGATGTTGTCCCTAGCCTCTGTTTGCCAGAAGCTGGGAATGGGCGACGGTATGGATCACTTGATGATGACTTGTTTGTTCATTCTGCCTGGGGCACCTGGCATTGGCCACTGTTGGAAGACAGGAGACTGGGCTAGATGGATCCTTGGTCTGGCCCAGTGTGGCCGTTCTTATGTTCTAGACACATATGCATAATGTGCAACATAAATGTACCATTAGTGGCACCATACATATACATTGGATGTAGGCTTTGAAGAAGTTTTTGTGTCCTGGGAACTCTGTGAAACCTCTCTTATTTTGAAAGGAATGTAGAGAAGGAAAAACTTTGCCAAGAAATTCTTCTGAAAACTCAGTGTTTTTGGGTGAAACTAGGGTGAGCTTCCAGTAGTTATTTCTCAGATTAAAGGGGGGGAATATGCTTTCATGTGGTGGAAAAAATATAAGATGATGACATTCCTTAAAGCAGAAAGATCATTATTTTTTGCCTTATATAATGAATAATTATATAGTCATAGTAGTGGTCAGAAGCCCCTCAAGACTATTCTGTTTCATGGCTCTATAGAGCCCTGCATGTGAAATGAAACTTTTACAGATGTAAAATGGGCCAAATCCAGATCTCTGGACCAAAGCCTTACTGTCTTTTGTGCTTTACAAATATAAAATGGAAGATAGCCACTAAACCAAATACACCTCTACCTCGATATAACGCTGTCCTCAGGAGCCAAAAAATCTTACCGCATTATAGGTGAAACCGCATTATATCGAACTTGCTTTGATCTGTCGGAGTGTGCAGCCCCCCCCTCCCCCGGAGCACTGCTTTACCGAGTTATATCCAAATTCGTAATATATCAGGTCGCGTTATATCGGGGTAGATGTTTAGCTTGAAATCTAAACAGGACTAAGGTGTGATAAGTAGGCACAGAACAAAATGGGGGAGGCAGAGGAGGAGGGCAAGCATGACTGTAAAAGGAACATAAGGTTGAATATGTTGGCTGAATTTAGGCTTTGCACATAATTTTTAAAATAAGAGAACATGAGAGATTAATGTACCACTGACAGGTTATTTGTGTCTCTACAGTAAGTGAAGTGCACTTTAATGGATTGATCCTGTCACATATTTTCTCTTGTATTTCAGCAATTAGAACTAATCACACCATTTCAACTGTATTTTAACCCCGAATTAATATTTAAACACTTTCAAGTAAGTATTTTTTCTGAATGTTAAATGTTGTCACCCTTGTAAGAAAATTATTAAACTTGTAACACTTGTTTTCACAACTGCACATTGAGAATATTGGAATATCTTTTTTCCCCCGGAAGGTTTCTAATAACATTCAAGTGAAGGTAAGTAGGGGTAAAAACTCATTGCTTTGATAGGTCACATTGTTCAAACAGTAGTTAAGAAACTATATTTGCTTGAACACACATTTGTGGAGCTATCTTTTACTCCTGAGGGCATTCTGCGCCAAAAAAATTAAAATTCTGTGCACAATATTTTAAAATTCTGCAAATTTTATTTGTCAAATAAATATGGAG